GGCCAGGATAAGTATCATCTGCGGTAAGCCTGTGTGAAGTGGCTAGTATTTGCTTTGGATTTGGTTGGTTCAGGGTACAGTGATTCTATTCAGTGATTCAAATTGTTGTCCCAAATCGATTCAGCCAAATCTGATTTGGCGACTTGTCTGCTGCCAAATTGGCTGAATCTCTGAAGTGAAGGCCCAATCCCCCGTCCAGCCCCAGCGTCCCAGCACCTTAAAGGAAAAAAAAGCCCCACACTCACTGGCTACTACCAGGCAGGGATTCGATCCCCACTGCCCCCCACGACCCCGTGCTGTGGGGTGGTCTCTGTGATGAGCCCCAAGAGGCTGTGACAGCCACTGCAGCAGCCGGTGAGTGCAGGGCTTTTTTTTTGTTAAGTGTAGGTTAACCTCAAGGTTACTGTGCATTAAAATAATGCACAGTGGGTGTGTCTACACATGACACTACTGCACAGTGGTTACTGCATATTTACTCAGTACTTCTATAAGTTAAGTATTAAATCAATGCCCAGTAACCAGAGTTACTACACAGTAGCACCAGCAAACTCCTTTATGGGACGCTACTGTGCAGTAGCCTGATACTACCGTAACCTTCGCCGGTGCACTAGGCAGGGCGATATTCCAGATTTCAGATCCTCAAGGTGCCAGTAGCGCTGGGATCTCCCTCAGGCAGATCTGCTGACTGGGCTGTCCCTGGGAGGGGTGTGGCCCTCACCCTCACCGCCCAAGCATTTACTCCAAACCCAATGAACAGATGGGTTTCTTTATTATATATTCAACTGTATACAGGAAGGGAGAGAGATTAATAAAAAAGAAGGCATATATACATCTATATGTTATCAGTAGAGAATAATAAAAGCAATTGTTTGAATATAATCTAGCAATGTAACCATAACTGACTAACTCTGACACAGGGGTTTGTTCCCTTACACCAGACTCTTGCACTGATTACGCTCGCCTGGTCATATCCTTTTGATTAAAAAAAAAAACAGTTTCCTTTTAGAATGAATCCTCCGGTCTCATTGTAATAAATAGCAACACAGTTATTGGTAGGATCACCCACTAGATGGTGTGAACACAGCTCCTGTCATTCTTGAGGCTCTGCGCCCGGTCATCATCCTGGCCCTCATGCCGAAACCTCTGGGCAGATGGTGCGGGTGAAGGGTTTCCTCTTATCGCTTCTGTAAATAAACTGCCTGCAAATGGTACAATATTAAATGTCTCCCCACTCCCCGCCTCCGAGGTTTCTGCCTTCTCAGCCGTTCCTCTTCTTGAACTGTCTCCCCTCCCGCGCTCACAGTCCGGCACAGGTGGTCTCCTCCCCTGGCAGGTCCTTTGTTCCTGCAGCCCCGAGCCCTCCTGGCTCAAACCAGCCTCCCCCCTGTAGGCAGTGGCGATGCGTAGGGGATGCACCCCCTGACAGGGTGTGCTCCCCACTTAGACGATGGGGAGGTGGGACTGCCAATGCCCCACCACGAGTGCCAGACAGGGAGTTGGAGCAGCGGAAGAAGCACTGTGACTGCTTTTGGGAGCACTGTGGCCAGTTCCAGGAGCACTGTAGCTGCTTCCCAGTCAATGCCCCACCCTGTTGGAAAGATTGGCCATGAGGGGACCCCCACCCCATCCCACCCACTCACTGACTGGTCACTGGCGGGGCATGTGCCCGCCTTGGCTAAGGTGGCACCAGTCACCCGTGCCTGCAGGGTTTGGTGACCTGGCAGCTCCCAAACAGCCTACCAACTGTGGCTGGCCATTCCCTTCCTCTCTCCTTCTGGGGACACCTGTGCCTAAAAGTTGCACAGCTTCATGCCTGGTGAGGAGATTAGCTCCAGATGGTGCTATACAGGATCTTCCTTGTCCTGATGTCAGTTCCTGAAGCAAGTCTCAGTTCCCGTTCCAGAGGGGCAGTGCGGGGGCTGCACCTCTGCCCCCATCTCTCTCGAAGCTGGATTTGGATCCATTCGGAGAGAGGCTGGAACTGTCCTGAAGTGGGGGACACCTCCCAGCTGCACGGATCTTGGGATCCCAGGCCCTATGAAGCCCTTGTCTTCTGAGCAGATCTGAAAGCAGCAGAAGCACACAGATCCCTGATGCAGGGGAATACCAAAATCAGCCTTCCCTTGAACCAGGCTGGGAATGGCTGGGGGCTGCACACGCTGTACTGACTGCCCTTTAAATTGACCAGTGCTGCAGTGGGGTGAGGAGGAACCAGGCTCAGACCCACCAGCCAGTTGGGGGACCTCATTCATCAGGACGAGGCTGTGATCCCACAGCCACTCACCCTCCTCAGGTCTGGCCTTCGATCCTCTTTGTTACGTGTGATCCTTGTTTCCCACCTAGGCATGCTGATGGTGTCCTTAACAAAGCC